CGACCGTTGACATCCGACCGCCGTCACCTGGCAACTCCCCTGCAGTAAGTTTTTTTAATTTTTTTTTCAATTTACAGTTTTAAAACAATTTTATAATCGATTTTAAAACAATTTTATAACTGATTTTAATTCTTCACCTCTTCTCATAGCACCGTCGAGCCCCAATCCTCGAGCCCTAAAAGCCCATCTCTCTCTTCCCCGCAAAAGACCTCTCCAGAGTTCTCAGGTACACAACACCCAATTCTTTGGTTATTTGCTTTCCAAGATCGAATTTCGAATCATGGGTCGAGCTCTGTATCTTTTGAAATTAGTTTCTCTGTCTTATGGTGTTTAGATCACTTTTAGCTTCCCGTTTGACCAATGAATGAGTGGTCTGCTATCAAATTTTGGTTTGGGTGAATCTGTAATTATAATTGTTGGAAATTAGGGTTTCGGTCCTTTTAGTTAACTTTGATGAATTAGTTTTTTTTCTTTTTTGAGTTGAATTGAGGAAATTAGGGGTGGAGGACTTTGTTAGATAGTATTTGCACGTACAAGAGGGGAAACTTGAGTGAGTTAGGGAGGGTTAGATTTGTTTCTAACTAAATCTGCAGTGATGATTGGTTGAAGATTAGGGTTTTGTTCTCTTGCAAGTGACACAATTTATCAGTTGTGTGCTCTAATTTTTTATTGATTGCTGATGGTTTCTATATACTTTTAAAGTTGGGAAATTTTACATTCCTTGCTAAGTTTCTAGGATGGTAGTTATATATTAAATTTGCCTTTGGAGAGAATAAGAACCTTGAATGGCATATGATAAAGGAAAAGATAGTGAAAGCAAAGACCTTTGTAGGCTGTCTAAAAATCACAATGGATAGCTGATCCCTATCAAGCTCCTACAACAAAAGCTACAATCAAATAGCCTTCGTTGGACGTAGTTGGCGAGTTGCTTGGTAGAAAGCCGTGGGCAAATATTCATCTAAATACACTATGGATGTTGATTCCCGTCAAGCTCCTACAACGAAAGCTATAATCAAATAGCTTTCGCGCCGACAATCGAAGGTTGCAAGTCGAGGACTTTTCACATAGATCGAGAAGAGTTACAATTCAACGACACTTCCGACAACTGATGAAAACTCTATTCAGCAGTCTTCATAATCTACAGTGAAGATTACAATCTGACGACTTTCACACTCCGCTACAGCTAAAGACAGGATTACTGAATAACGGTCCTTGCGACGCTTCACAGAAGAAGTTACAAGTCAAAAAGCTCCTTCTGAAACGCGGATGTCATCCCCGCGTTACAATTCTGGAAATGTAGGCGACCCTTACGTTTCCAAGTCACCCTCGCGTTCGTAGGGGTCCAACCAACACCGACCCCCGCGTTTCTAAGCTACAACAAACCAAAACGCGAGCGACCCTCGCGTTCATCAATGTTCAGCCAACACCCAACTTCGCGTCTCAATTCTAAGACACGAAGTTGGGTTCTGAACGCCAGATTGGGCGTTTGACTCGTTCGAATACGAGTCGAACGGTTTCAGAACTGTTTCCCCACGATCTGAGGAAATCACGCCCACTTAGGAGCGGATTTAAAGGGCAGTTACAATCCCTTATCCACCTATAAAAGCTCAACAAACTCAACTGAGTTAAGGGCTGGCTTTTTGGAATGAAAGAGAGGCAGCAAATTGGATTTGGAGGATCTCAACCACTCAGGTTTGGTGATTCAACAGCAGCAGCAATAAAAAATCCTTGAAGATAGGATTTTTGAATCAAATCCAGAAGATCAAAATAGAAAGAATTCTTCAACAACAGAAAATTAGCTTGGTCATTAACCGAATTTTTGGTTCTAACAACTCTATTCACAGAGTTCTAACTCGTCCAGAGTTCTTAAACTCATTCAGAGTTCTAACTCGTCCAGAGTTCTTAAACTCATTCGAGTTATTCATTAAACTTTCCACATAAGTTCATTGTTCCCATGAGATAGAAGACGGTTGGATCGTCAACGGAGAGCAAATTCGACGCGAGCAATCGAAGGAGGCATTCCATCGCTACCGAGAAGAACCCAGTTTTAAACAAAGGAGAGAATCAAATTCGTTCTCTTCTCTTTTGTAATCAAGTTGTAATCGGAATCAAAGGAATACAAGTCAATTTTCTTTGTTCTCTTCTTTGCAATTTTTCCTACATACAATATGGTATCTGACCAAATATTGTTTAGGGGACTTGTTCAGTCCCCTAACATTCCAAAAAGAAAAATTCATGATGACTTCCCCCCTCTATCAATTGTAGAATTGTTGAAATGCCGAAGAAAGCCCTCTCCTTCGGCCAGGAACTCAAACTGGCTCTGCTGGCTGAAAAGCCCACGTCCGCGTCAGCACAGCGTGCTTCGGGCCACAAACAGCCTCTGGAGGAGACGAGTTCCATGAGCGTCGACGACGCTGCTGCTAAGGCTTTGAAACAAGCCAAAAAGAACGCCGCTCGCCGACGGAGAAGATCCATACGACGAGCCCATCTACGTGAAAGCCGAATGTTGGCCCAACGCGAAGACCGCGTTTCTGAAAATCCAACCGAGCCTAGCGTTCCCAAAGAAGAACGCTCACTTCGCGTCA